GGTGCTCAAACTGCTAGTCATTTCCTCTAGTTCATCTGTTTGTTTGGGTTCACTGAGCAGCTGAGATAGATCAGGTAAGCTATTTGAGAATCTATCTATAGTGGTTGGAAGGATTGTTCTGCCTGGTCTATAACGTGGCGCAACATGACATATTTCAGCAGTACGTATTATGCACGTTACCATGTAATGATCAGTGACATCATCACTTTGCGGTATAATATCTATATCAGTTGGATTGGTTCCATATGATATAATTAAATCTAGTGTATGATTTAGACGATGAGTGGGACCACGGACGTTTTGCTTGACCCCAAAGGAGTTTAATAAATCTGTAAACGCAGCCCCTAAGGCATCATTTTTGTTGTCTACGTGTATGTTAAAATCTCCAACAATTATTGCTTTATCGACATTGACCAATAGATCCGAGAGAAAGTCTGCAAACTCTTTTAGAAATTCAGCATATGGCCCTGGAGGTCTATATACAGTAGCCAAGGCTAGAGATAATATGGATTTCTTTCTTACATCTAAGAGCGTAACATTTAGCATAAGTACTTCAAACGAATTAAATCTGTGACCTGTTTTCTGAGAAATATTAAGAATATCTTTATAGATTGTTGCAACACCGCCGCCACGACCAGTCAGACGGGGCTCATGCTTATAACAGTATCTTGGCGGAGTAGACTCATTTAGACCGAAATACTCATTTGGTTTAAGCCAGGTTTCAGTAAGGCAAAGTATATCGAAATTATTATCTGTGACCATTTCATTTACAATAACCGCTTTAGGTGTGAGCGATCTAATGTTTAGAAGACCTTGCTTTAGAAATTCTTTTTGTTCACTGATATTTAGATTTTCTGGTTTAATTACAATAAGATTTTTGCTAGATCCTGCACTAGATTTATTGTTTGGCTTCACTAAACGAGGAATAGACACAGTTTCTATATAATGTTCTTCACTACGTATATCAATTAAGTTTGGACAGCAAAGACTGTGATTTGGATTTTGACTTATTAGTCATCTGGTGCGTAACGTCTTGGAGATATTATCCGACAGAACAGCCGCTCCGGCTCTGCTGGGGTGCAGGCCATCAGCACGGTACAGCCTGGGTCGCTCCCAAAACAGATTCCAATTATTTACAAAGAGCAGTTTCTGTTCATTACACAGTGACATTAACCATTCATTTAGTGCAAATAGTCTACTGAATCTTTCTTGTCCTAGTCGGTACGTGGGAAGCGGTCCAGACACGATGATCGTTGCCTCAGGCGCTGTGTTGCGTACGGTCTCGATCAGGCTCATGTAGTCCTTCTTCAGAACCTCCGTCTGCCGCAGCCTGACGTGTGCTGCCTTAGCAAGCACGATCCTGCTGGCCCGCCCAAGGCATATGTACACCTCGGGTTCCAGCGAGCTATCACCAAGGTGGTAGGGCCCAGCGAGCCATCTACTGAAAGAATGGGGTGGGCAGACTTATCGATGGTACCAAAATACAAGCTCTGAATGGGCTGTGTCCTCCAGGTTTTCGAGAAAGAAATGAGTTGGCGGAAAGTGGAAAACAGGAAAATGGTTTGCTGTCTGTGCCAAGGTCCCATGCACTCGATGTAACTGGACACGATCTATCGCAGCAGGAGGAGTTAATCCTCTGGAGACCTTTAGGGAGAAACAAAACCGTGAAGGACTCCACAGATTTTTTCCTTTGATTTATTCTTTGATTTTTTTCTCTGAATCGGTCTACTTTCAGCATAGGCGCTGCCTTAACAAGCAACAAACACAGCCTCATTTGAGGCATATGTATGGGGTCGAACCCTGTTGGCATCTGCTGAAGAAAGGGAGTGGACACACTTTGCTGGAAAAATGAGAGTGCCCTATAGACATTGGAGATGCACCAGTTCTTGACACAAGAGATCAAGAATGAAAATAAATAGTGGCAGGAAGGTATGAATCAAGTCCAGTGAAGCAGGCTTGATCACAGCTGCAAAAATATGGAGCGCTTCACTGATTTGCGTGTCATCCTTTCGCAGGGGCCATGCTAATCTTCTCTGTATCGATCCAATTTTAGTATATGTGCTGCCTTAGCAAGCACGATCCTGGCGGCCCGCCCAAGGCATATGTACACCTCGGGTTCCAGCGAGCTATCACCAAGGTGGTAGGGCCCAGCGAGCCATCTACTGAAAGAATGGGGTGGGCAGACTTATCGATGGTACCAAAATACAAGCTCTGAATGGGCTGTGTCCTCCAGGTTTTCGAGAAAGAAATGAGTTGGCGGAAAGTGGAAAACAGGAAAATGCTTTGCTGTCTGTGCCAAGGTTCCATGCACTCGATGTAACTGGACACGATCTATCGCAGCAGGAGGAGTTAATCCTCTGGAGACCTTTAGGCAGAGGCCCTCGGCCACGCGACAGAAACCAAACCGTGAAGGACTCCACAGATTTTTTCCTTTGATTTATTCTTTGATTTTTTTCTCTGAATCGGTCTACTTTCAGCATAGGCGCTGCCTTAACAAGCAACAAACACAGCCTCATTTGAGGCATATGTATGGGGTCGAACCCTGTTGGCATCTGCTGAAGAAAGGGAGTGGACACACTTTGCTGGAAAAATGAGAGTGCCCTATAGACATTGGAGATGCACCAGTTCTTGACACAAGAGATCAAGAATGAAAATAAATAGTGGCAGGAAGGTATGAATCAAGTCCAGTGAAGCAGGCTTGATCACAGCTGCAAAAATATGGAGCGCTTCACGGATTTGCGTGTCATCCTTTCGCAGGGGCCATGCTAATCTTCTCTGTATCGATCCAATTTTAGTATATGTGCTGCCTTAGCAAGCACGATCCTGGCGGCCCGCCCAAGGCATATGTACACCTCGGGTTCCAGCGAGCTATCACCAAGGTGGTAGGGCCCAGCGAGCCATCTACTGAAAGAATGGGGTGGGCAGACTTATCGATGGTACCAAAATACAAGCTCTGAATGGGCTGTGTCCTCCAGGTTTTCGAGAAAGAAATGAGTTGGCGGAAAGTGGAAAACAGGAAAATGGTTTGCTGTCTGTGCCAAGGTTCAATGCACTCGATGTAACTGGACACGATCTATCGCAGCAGGAGGAGTTAATCCTCTGGAGACCTTTAGGCAGAGGCCCTCGGCCACGCGACAGAAACAAAACCGTGAAGGACTCCACAGATTTTTTCCTTTGATTTATTCTTTGATTTTTTTCTCTGAAACGGTCTACTTTCAGCATAGGCGCTGCCTTAACAAGCAACAAACACAGCCTCATTTGAGGCATATGTATGGGGTCGAACCCTGTTCCCTGTCGGCATCTGCTGAAGAAAGGGAGTGGACACACTTTGCTGGAAAAATGAGAGTGCCCTATAGACATTGGAGATGCACCAGTTCTTGACACAAGAGATCAAGAATCCAGAATCCAGTGAAGCAGGCTTGATCACAGCTGCAAAAATATGGAGCGCTTCACGGATTTGCGTGTCATCCTTTCGCAGGGGCCATGCTAATCTTCTCTGTATCGATCCAATTTTAGTATATGTGCTGCCTTAGCAAGCACGATCCTGGCTGCCCGCCCAAGGCATATGTACACCTCGGGTTCCAGCGAGCTATCACCAAGGTGGTAGGGCCCAGCGAGCCATCTACTGAAAGAATGGGGTGGGCAGACTTATCGATGGTACCAAAATACAAGCTCTGAATGGGCTGTGTCCTCCAGGTTTTCGAGAAAGAAATGAGTTGGCGGAAAGTGGAAAACAGGAAAATGCTTTGCTGTCTGTGCCAAGGTTCCATGCACTCGATGTAACTGGACTCGATCTATCGCAGCAGGAGGAGTTAATCCTCTGGAGACCTTTAGGGAGAAACAAAACCGTGAAGGACTCCACAGATTTTTTCCTTTGATTTATTCTTTGATTTTTTTCTCTGAATCGGTCTACTTTCAGCATAGGCGCTGCCTTAACAAGCAACAAACACAGCCTCATTTGAGGCATATGTATGGGGTCGAACCCTGTTCCCTGTCGGCATCTGCTGAAGAAAGGGAGTGGACACACTTTGCTGGAAAAATGAGAGTGCCCTATAGACATTGGAGATGCACCAGTTCTTGACACAAGAGATCAAGAATGAAAATAAATAGTGGCAGGAAGGTATGAATCAAGTCCAGTGAAGCAGGCTTGATCACAGCTGCAAAAATATGGATCGCTTCACGGATTTGCGTGTCATCCTTTCGCTCTCTGCCCAGCAATGTTCTCTGGATGCCGGCCAATCAGCAGCTCGGGATTATCAAGCGTTTGTCAAGCGTTTTCGGTTTTGGGCCAATCAGCAGCTCGGATTATCAAGCCTTTGTCAAGCGTTTTCGGTTTTGGGCCAATCAGAAGCTCGGATTATCAAGCGTTTGTCAAGCGTTTTGGGCCAATCAGCGGTTAGTATAATCAAGCGTTTGTCATAGCAACCATCAACAATCCGGACCTGACACGACACCGACCGAGTCACCAAGTGAGTGAGTAAAACAAAAATAAATAGAATATTACGAATGTTCTGACATAGCATTGTCTTCCCAGAGTACTTTTACCATGTACTGACATGGAATTCGTCGATGTATTATTACGTCTTGCCGTCAATCGCTGGTTTTGATATTTAAAAATACGTTAACGTTTGTTAATTAACGTCAACGTCAGGCGTCCGTTACACATTTAAACCATATTTACACTTTGAATTTCGACTCCAAACTGTAGTAACTACATCTACATGGTCTAATGAAGATAACCAGGTAGTCTGATCAAAGATTAAATACATTTTGAGAGATCGCTAACATGTAATGCAATGCATTGGAAATTAATGGGACAACATGTGGCGATCTCTGAAAACAAAATTAAATTATGAAAAGACTATACATTTAGTATCGTTAGACCCTTAAGATTATAATATCACCACGTGAAATCAAAATATAAAGTTTAGGTGTGTCTTTTAAATGCATTAAGAATAAGCCTGTTTGTTTAATGGCTGCCAATGCACCCTGGGGTCATTATTTACCTGTTGTGTCACGTTATATTAATTTGTTAACGTTAATATTTCAATAGCGAATGTGTAGTTCTAGTATATCATTAATCTTATGTGTGATAGTCCTGTTAATATGGCAATTAACATATAGCTGCTAGTTTAACCTGTAATGCTCGTTTAATGCTGTGCCATTTGTCGTTGAAGATATGTCTTTAGCAAATTTAAAACTGACGGCCTCGCAGCAGCTTGTCCTGCGGGCCTCTGATGAGGCGGTGGCCTTCATCGCCGCCAAGGGGCCACGCGGGACCGCCGCTGCTGCGAGGGCCAAGAAGCCAGAGGAGGTGGAGAAGGAGGCCCAAGCCCACGTTGTCTCCAAGGGTGGTGACCCTGGTAACCCCATGCTGGTGCTGGGCTGCCACAGCATCCAGTTTGGCAAGTACCAGGGTCAAACTTTCCGTTGGCTCCTGGAGAACGACGTGGGCTACACCACGCAGTTGGTTGCCAGCCACCAGCGGGAGCGGGAGAAAAGTGCCTCCGACAGCCCCCTTATGGCCAACAAGGACGCACTCGCCCGGTACTCGTGCGCCCACCCTGCTTTTGCTGAGCAGCTGCGGTACCACCGGGCGCACGAGGAGGCCCGGGCTCGCGCCACTCAGCCCGGGTGTGAGGGCGAGGCGCTTGTTGGCTTTGGGGACTACAAGGAGGCCACCCTGAAGGACCTGTACGAATCCAAGGAGAAGAAGCACCAGACGTAAGTCTTGTTGTGGTGAAGGGCAGTGTACTGTCGACAGGGTGCTGTAACTTGTTGATATGCGTGTTAATCTTTGATCATTGTCTTGCAGCTTTGTCAAGTGGCTACGGCGGAAGACACCGCAGCCTGGGACCTCGATGGACGCCGCCAGGAAGTACATCCTGGGCCGAGACAAGGAGCGGTCGGCAGAGGTGGCTGCTACCCCCCCACCTCCCAGCAGCAGCAGCACCACCACCAGCAGTGGCCCCAGCAAGGCCGCTGCTTCCACCGCGCTGCCGCCACGCAAGCCGATCGCTCCCATGTTCTCGGCCCTACTGGGAAGGCGTCCAATGGCCCCAGGTGAGCTGTTCCAGGTAGATCTCTTTCTTTCTCTTTAACACAACAGTGGTTCAGTGTACAGGATTAACTAACCATTGCCCTCCCACCCCACAGCGGTGTCTACATCCGTCAGAGACCAGCGCCCCTCGGTTCCGCCGCCGCCCCCCCCCACAGAGGTGACGGACGAGGAACTGGTCCAGATGGCCACTGACTTAGAAACGGGTAACTGGCACCACACTGGACACGTCACACTGTAACATTTGCCCTCAATATATATTCTTCTGGCGGTATTTTTGTATTAACTGTAATGGTCTCATTTACTGGTCTCTACAGCTGATGCTTGAAGACCAAAGGTAGGTTTGGCAGGTAATGTAGCCGTCTTTGTCGGTGGTAGATGTGTAGAACGTAGTGGCAATGTAGATTTGCTTAACCACCTTCACATGTCTACTTCCCTTGGCCCTGCTGCATCTCTTGACATTCACCTTGTAGCACTAGACCATCTGCCCTATCACTGGTATGCTGCACGTCATCTAATCACTGGCATGCTGCACGTCATCTAATCACAGGCATTCTGCACGTCATCTAATCACTGGCATTCTGCACGTCATCTAATCACTGGCATGCTGCACGTCATCTAATCACAGGCATTCTGCACGTCATCTAATCACTGGCATTCTGCACGTCATCTAATCACTGGCATGCTGCATGTCATCAACACTCAGACTCACTTAGGCTTGCCTGCCTGTGTGTTGCCCCATGACTATCATTGTGCTGATGCCATTTTGTTGTGTGTGAATGTGTCTGAAGCTCGCGTACAGGTCCTTCAGACTCTCCCGCTCCCGCTGGTGGTGAGGCCTCCATCTCCACCTCCTCCGGCATTGTCCTCCATCCCCCCCCCACCGCCACCACCTCGAGTTGCGGCTGCTCCACCTACGCTCGCGGTTCCGGCTCCGGCGTTGACCAGGGAGGAGTCCCGTCGCGTCTCCGTGGAGGAGACGCCATCTGGGGAGGCCACCCTGGCACCAGCGCCGGCGAAGAGGAAGAGGAAGGAGAGGAAAGTGGAGCAGCCCGCAACACCCACTCCTGCTTCGGCTGAGGTACAAACACACGCACGCACGCACGCACACGCACGCACGCACACACACACACACACACACACACACACACCGTGCCCGTACTCATGGACGGCACAACTCAGTGAAGTTGACTGTCAAACTGCATGTAGCACCTCCTCTCAGCCTCCTTACAGTGTGTTTGTTTGTGTTTTTTTTCTTCCTCACAGTCCCGGTTGCCTGAGAGCTGGCGGACAGCTCTCACCGTGGAAGAGCAGGAGTGGATCGGCCGGGAGCTGTTTAGGAAAGACAGCGAGGGGAGGAGCAAACTCACCACAGACCTCAAGCTGTGGTGGGACCCCCCTCAGCCCCGGCCGAGTTACACTCAGCCACCCGCCTCGCCAGCTGCCTTCTTCGCGTGTCGGCTGTTCCTCTGGACCCCCCTGCGTCTGTGGGGCGTCCGGCCGACATGCTGTAATAGGGCCCTCACCAAGTGTGGGCTCTACAGGACCATCCGGAGGGTCCTGGACATCGACGGCTGGTACTTGATGGCCACCGAGTACCTGGAGTGCCGTCGGTGTAAGAGGAAGGTAGCTGCCTGGTCGCAGGAGGTCGTGAGTCAGCTGGGAGAGGGGCATCGCGCCCTCTTCCCGGCAATCCTCACCTACAAGTAAGTAGCTGTCTGAAAACTGTCACGCAGCCCCTCGGTCTGTCTGTGTGTGGCTCTTCTGTAACACACGATGTGCTCCTCTCTGTAGGCTTGCCTGCGACCGGCGGGTCATCATCCAGCTGCGTGAGCGTACTCGGGGGAACAGCGCCACGCAGCTGTACAAAAAACTCTGTGAGGCACACACAGAGGCCTGGATGCGGCGGTCCATACACTACCTCAGCGTCATGGAGCCCTTCACGTCGCGGGGTGTCGTGCGCATGTGCACCCCACCACCAAAACCGCCACCCGTGCCCCAGTACGCGTGGCTGTTAATGGTGTACTGCCACGACATCCTCTCCCGCCTGGAGGACGTGAAGGCCCGGGTCACCTCCGTCTTCGGAACGGTCCTGAAGATGGATTCGACCAAGAAGGTAAATGTGGTGCTATAGCGCAAACGGAGTATCATGCTCTGGCTATGTGTGTGCAGCCTTACTGAGATGCTTTTTTCTTTCAAACAGGTGACCCGGAAGCTCTCCGGTGCTGCCGCCCAGACCGCAGCGTGGGCAACGAACGTCGGCAACGAGCACGGACAGGTGCTCATGTCCGTGCTCACGGACGCCGAGGGTGCCGGCCTGTTGCCCATGGCTGCGGGGTTAATGCGGCGGTATCGGGACGCTGGGGTGGAGCCGCCTCAGCTCCTCTACGTTGACCGGGACTGTTGTTCGTCCCACGGGGGATCCAAGACAGCTGACATGTTCAGGAAGTGGGACAAGCTGGTGGTCCGGCTGGACATCTGGCACCTGATGCGGCGGTTCGCGTCAGGTGTGTTGTGGCATAAACAATAATTAAACAAACAGCATCACAGTAAGAGACGTCATGGTTCCATAACTTGATATAACATGCATTTTTCCACAACAGGTGTCACCACCGAGAGCCACCAGCTGTATAAACCCTTCCTGCAGCAGCTGTCTTCGTGCATCTTCCTGTGGGACCCAGAGGACACAGCCCGGTTGCTCAACGCCAAGAAGAGGATGCTTGAGGCGCAGGGGATGACCTTCTCGTCCGACGCCGGAGTGTGGAGGCACGTCAGCCGCAAGAATATGGCTCTCCATTGCCGTCGCCGCACGCGTGGAGCGGCGGAGACGGAGCGGCTGATCGGTGACCTCCTGGAAACCTTCGGCGGTGCCAACGGACGAGACACCATGGGGATTTCCCTGCTGGACCAAGACCGCATCCAGAAGATCTGGACGGAGCAGCGGCGCCACCTCCATTGCATCCAGGACCCGCCGGGCGTGGAGCTGTACACTGAGACCGGCAGGGTGACCCAGGGGGGGATCAGCCTGCCGGTGTACCGTTGTGCACGAGGCTCCACGTCCCTGGAGTCGTTCCACCTGCATCTCAACCGCTTCATTCCAGGTAGAGCACATGTTTGACTGTCATGTCAATCTTTCACTGTCATCGACTCGTTGTTATTCACATTGTGTGCACTGAATAAACTGCTAAAAACATCTGCGTTCCTCCTCAGGAGAAAGTGCCAATCCCTGGCACTTCCAGGCATTTCTCCTGGAGGGGTTGACGCGGTGGAACGCGGACAGGGCGGCGTCCGTGGCACAGGAGGGACGGCAGCTGCTCCGCTCCTACAATGGCCCCCTGCAGCACTCCCTTGACCAGCTCAGCCAAAGGGTGCTTGGCACGAGTGTGGTCAAGGATTACACCAAGCCCAGGGAGTACACCGGTAAGAACACTCGAGCCACCGCGCTTACACATGTCCACACTGAATGATATTTGTACCTGACTGACTGTTGTTGTTGTACTTCAGGGGAACTCATCGGCATCGAGTACCTGTACTCCCAGACGGGCAGAGTGCTGCAGGACGTCAGCTTGGACCCTGACATTCCGGACGCGGGGGGGGACGTTCCCCAACTCGTTGAGGATGACGAGCTCGCCGACGGCCAGCAGGAGGTGGAGGACCTCACCCTCCACGTGCCTGGCGAGTTCCCCTCTCCTCAGACGGACCCGCGGTCAGGGCGACCGGCTGACGCACCCGCGCCCGAGCCATCCAGTCCGACCGGTGCCCCCGAACCCGCACCCCACTCCCCCGGCCGGTCCTCTCCAGAGCCTCAGCAGGCTGCTGAGGTAAGCACGCCACCTCTTTGTGGTCTGCGACTGCAGTGCGCTCGCTCTGTTCCATCCAACTGACTTATTGTTTTCCATCTCTTCTTGTGTGTCTGCAGGACTACAGAGGACCAGATGACCAGCCGGGGTACCTGGCCGTGGTCCAGTTGGCCACGGCCTTGGTGGGGTTGCGTCACGAACCGGCCTTGTCCGAGGGGAGGGTAGATGAGCTCATCAGGCTCTACGAGGCCCTGTCACCGTACGACAGGGCCCGAGTAGTTTACCCTCCCCGCTACAGGGACAGGCCAGCTCAGGGGCGCTTCATGGCAGCCAAGCCGCACCAGTATACCTGGTGTGGAAAGCTTGAGGCGGTAAGGCTACACTTCCATCATACATTTCCCTGATGTACACACAAGCTGCTCTATGTAATGTTGCCCATTATCATGCTCATATCTGTCATTGTTTTTTGTCCATTGTCCGCAGCTGCCTGGTCGGAGAGACCTCTGGACCTGCCAGCAGTCCCAGCGCAAGCCGGCTGGTAGAGGCAGTATGCACCCAGCTCTGCCGCTTCATCCCCTCGGGCAGCCGTGCGCGCGGTGCCCGGAGGTCGCGGTGGGACAGCATACTGCTTCGGTACCAGCACATCCGGGACCTTGTGCTGGGCCACCAGAGGCTGATGGCTCGGGCGCCCATACAGCTCTTTGAGCTGAACGCCAGGACCCTCTCGCTGTGGTATGTTTGATGCTTTGGCCAGTGTTATGGTAATGACATGCTTGAATGGCATGCTCTCAAAATTGTACATGTAACTAAAATACTACGTTGAAATCCGTTCTCAGGTTCACCAGGACGCAGCGGGAGAAGGAGAGGACTGTGCTAGCTTCAGGCGTTGCAGCAGAGGGACGACCACCAGCGGCAGCGGGTTCGGCAGTGGCAGCGCCGGGCCCAGCAGCAGTGGATCGTTCTCCGGCAGCAGCAGCAGCAACAGGCCAGGCGACGACAGCAGCGCCAAGGACGGCGGGACCTCTGGCAGCAGCACCGGCTGTGGCAGCACCGGTGCCTGTTCTGCCAGCGCCAGTGCGCCCACTGGCGCCTTTACCGCCTGCCCCCTCAGCTGTTGTCCTGGCTGTACCACCGGCTGCTGCAGCTGCAACAGGACCTTTTCCGGCAACACAGCCTCTCCTTCTGGACCTCTCACTGCCCCAGCAGAGTGTGAGGGTGCTCCCCATCCCAACGCTCCCTCGGACAACGCCAGCCCCACACGTCCTCCCTCTGCCGCTGGCCGCCGCATTTCACGCCGGCCCTCAGCTGCCTGCAGCACCTCCTGCTCGCCCTCCTCAGCCTCTCTCTATGTACAAAACTGATTGGCTGAGGAGGTCGAAGGCTGAGCAGAGGGCAGCGGCAGGAACAGTCGTCGCTGCCCGGGCCGGCGTGCCGCAGGTACAAAAGTGCCGGAAATGCGGCCAGCCAAGGCGGAGGGAGACCGGACACACCCGCTACGGCTATGTGCATTTTTGCTCTGCCGCGGCGGGTAAGAGTGTGGAGGACTGGCTGAGGGAGATGAAGGACAAGGACCAGGGTCGAGCCCCGGACTGATTTCGCATTCTCGCTGGGGCAGGTGTATATAGTTGTTTCAGTGTTTGTTTGTTTTTTAAAGACATTGACTTTACCCTCCACAAGGACCGGGACCTTGCCGCGGTGTGGAGGCTTTCTACAAACACCGGTCCACACCTGCCACAACTTTTCTACAGCAAAAAAAAAAAACATTGTGTATCCCATTCACACCTGTATAACATTGCCATGCCTTTGTACTATTCTGATTCTTTGCACTGACAAGTTATATAGGCCTATACTGTGTTGCCGCGGTGTGGAGGCTTCCTACAAACACCGGTCCACACCTGCCACAACTTTTCTACAGCAAAAAAAAAAAACATTGTGTATCCCATTCACACCTGTATAACATTGCCATGCCTTTGTACTATTCTGATTCTTTGCACTGACAAGTTATATAGGCCTATACTGTGTTGCCGCGGTGTGGAGGCTTCCTACAAACACCGGTCCACACCTGCCACAACTTTTCTACAGCAAAAAAAAAACATTGTGTATCCCATTCACACCTGTATAACATTGCCATGCCTTTGTACTATTCTGATTCTTTGCACTGACAAGTTATATAGGCCTATACTGTGTGTCTGCTGCCTATCATATGGCTTAAGAAAAAGAAAAGAAAACATTGTCTGTCCCATTCACACCTGTATAACACATTCACACCTGTATAACACATTGTCATGCATTTGTGCTGTTCTGATTTTATGCCCTGACAAGTTATATAGGCCTTTTGGACATGTGGGTATGTTCAATAATGTGGTCACTGTCTTTGGAGTTACGTCCAGTTGCCACTGGCTCTGTTGCCGCCACGTTGGTACTTCACACTGTATGCTGCTGCATTATTTATCCATGCATGTCTGTAATGAGCCCATATACTATGCATCTGTCTGCTGTGATTGATGTGGTTTAAAATAAGAGGAATGAAGCCTTGTGCCACTGTTCTGCATCAATACCACTGTTCTGCATCTCACCCCAGAACATTTATGCCATGTGTCTGCTCTGATGCTCTATTTTTATTATTATTACTACTATCATCATCATCATCATCATCATCATGTTTTATTGTATTGTAGTTTGAAATAAATAATCTATTTCACACTGTAGTCTACTGCGGCTGTGTTTGGTGTTTTCTGCATCTATACATCATCATCATCATCATCATCATCATCAACAACAACAACAACAACAAAAACTGATTTTTAATTGATATTTTTTTACTGAAGAAAAAGGTGAAACGAATAATACACGGCATGTAACTTTTATTTATACATTGAAATAAAATTATTGACATAATATAAATGTAATATAATGTTTAACATAACAAATTTTAATATATAAGGTGAAACAATACAAAATACAATATATCTATGCAGAAAATGGTGAAACAATATGAATACAATATATTATTTAACATACATTTTAATATCTATGCAGAAAAAGGTGTTACTTTTATGTATACACATGAAATAGGCATAATATGAATATAATAGTGTGTAATATAATGTTTAATATTTGTGCTTCGGTCGGGATTCGATCCTGCGTTTTGATGGTGTCTCGTTTGTACCGCGTTTGTGCGACTGGGCATGCGCGAAGGCACTAATGCGCATGCGCGAAAACAAAGAAGAACGATGGCGAAGCTTTTCGCAGGGGCCATGCTAATCTTCTCTGTATCGATCCAATTTTAGTATATGTGCTGCCTTAGCAAGCACGATCCTGGCGGCCCGCCCAAGGCATATGTACACCTCGGGTTCCAGCGAGCTATCACCAAGGTGGTAGGGCCCAGCGAGCCATCTACTGAAAGAATGGGGTGGGCAGACTTATCGATGGTACCAAAATACAAGCTCTGAATGGGCTGTGTCCTCCAGGTTTTCGAGAAAGAAATGAGTTGGCGGAAAGTGGAAAACAGGAAAATGCTTTGCTGTCTGTGCCAAGGTTCCATGCACTCGATGTAACTGGACACGATCTATCGCAGCAGGAGGAGTTAATCCTCTGGAGACCTTTAGGCAGAGGCCCTCGGCCACGCGACAGAAACAAAACCGTGAAGGACTCCACAGATTTTTTCCTTTGATTTATTCTTTGATTTTTTTCTCTGAATCGGTCTACTTTCAGCATAGGCGCTGCCTTAACAAGCAACAAACACAGCCTCATTTGAGGCATATGTATGGGGTCGAACCCTGTTGGCATCTGCTGAAGAAAGGGAGTGGACACACTTTGCTGGAAAAATGAGAGTGCCCTATAGACATTGGAGATGCACCAGTTCTTGACACAAGAGATCAAGAATGAAAATAAATAGTGGCAGGAAGGTATGAATCAAGTCCAGTGAAGCAGGCTTGATCACAGCTGCAAAAATATGGAGCGCTTCACAGATTTGCGTGTCATCCTTTCACAGGGGCCATGCTAATCTTCTCTGTATCGATGCAATTTTAGTATATGTGCTGCCTTAGCAAGCACGATCCTGGCTGCCCGCCCAAGGCATATGTACACCTCGGGTTCCAGCGAGCTATCACCAAGGTGGTAGGGCCCAGCGAGCCATCTACTGAAAGAATGGGGTGGGCAGACTTATCGATGGTACCAAAATACAAGCTCTGAATCGGCTGTGTCCTCCAGGTTTTCGAGAAAGAAATGAGTTGGCGGAAAGTGGAAAACAGGAAAATGCTTTGCTGTCTGTGCCAAGGTTCCATGCACTCGATGTAACTGGACACGATCTATCGCAGCAGGAGGAGTTAATCCTCTGGAGACCTTTAGGCAGAGGCCCTCGGCCACGCGACAGAAACAAAACCGTGAAGGACTCCACAGATTTTTTCCTTTGATTTATTCTTTGATTTTTTTCTCTGAATCGGTCTACTTTCAGCATAGGCGCTGCCTTAACAAGCAACAAACACAGCCTCATTTGAGGCATATGTATGGGGTCGAACCCTGTTCCCTGTCGGCATCTGCTGTAGAAAGGGAGTGGACACACTTTGCTGGAAAAATGAGAGTGCCCTATAGACATTGGAGATGCACCAGTTCTTGACACAAGAGATGAAGAATCCAGAATCCAGTGAAGCAGGCTTGATCACAGCTGCAAAAATATGGAGCGCTTCACAGATTTGCGTGTCATCCATTCACAGGGGCCATGCTAATCTTCTCTGTATCGATGCAATTTTAGTATATGTGCTGCCTTAGCAAGCACGATCCTGGCTGCCCGCCCAAGGCATATGTACACCTCGGGTTCCAGCGAGCTATCACCAAGGTGGTAGGGCCCAGCGAGCCATCTACTGAAAGAATGGGGTGGGCAGACTTATCGATGGTACCAAAATACAAGCTCTGAATCGGCTGTGTCCTCCAGGTTTTCGAGAAAGAAATGAGTTGGCGGAAAGTGGAAAACAGGAAAATGCTTTGCTGTCTGTGCCAAGGTTCCATGCACTCGATGTAACTGGACACGATCTATCGCAGCAGGAGGAGTTAATCCTCTGGAGACCTTTAGGCAGAGGCCCTCGGCCACGCGACAGAAACAAAACCGTGAAGGACTCCACAGATTTTTTCCTTTGATTTATTCTTTGATTTTTTTCTCTGAATCGGTCTACTTTCAGCATAGGCGCTGCCTTAACAAGCAACAAACACAGCCTCATTTGAGGCATATGTATGGGGTCGAACCCTGTTCCCTGTCGGCATCTGCTGTAGAAAGGGAGTGGACACACTTTGCTGGAAAAATGAGAGTGCCCTATAGACATTGGAGATGCACCAGTTCTTGACACAAGAGATGAAGAATCCAGAATCCAGTGAAGCAG